GCCCCTGGAAAGTGTCTCATACCAGCCAAGGGGAGAAAGGAGACTTGACCTTCAGGAGCTGTTAAGGAGGGCTGGTGATGGATTAGACGTGCCGGATGCATGAGAGGAAGGAGTCTAAATGACTCCCAGATTTCTGCTGTACTGTTTGTTCATGGCTGCTACTTCCTCCCCCTCTGACTTCATTTTAATCTAGAACAGAGCTGTCCAGTAGAACTTGGTGCAATGACTGAAATGTTCTGTTCTGTACTTCCCAATATGGCAACCATAAGCTACAGGTAGCAATCCAGACCCTGAAATGTGGCTGGGGTGACTAAGGAGGTAAGCTTTGAATGTGATGTTATTTTATTATTTTTGGCAGTGCTGGAGGGTTGAACCCAGGACCACAGGCATGAGTGTTCTGCCACTCAGCTCTACACCCTCAGCCCTAAATTTTATTTTAATCAATTTCAATAGCCACACGTGGCTAGTGACCACTACATTGGAGCACACAGTCTGGAATGCTGTCTGTTCGCCATCGATCCACCATTTACCATTCAGTCTTGGTCTATAATTGAGTTCTTGTCTGTTTCCCTCTGTGGACTGTAATATTGTTGAGGTCAGGGAATACATTTAATTTAGGGTTGAATCACTTCCTCCTGAGTTTTTGCACAATGTCAGGCAAATCACCGGCACCCAGTAAGCAGTGCCTGTGTTCAATTGCCAGCTGAGAGGGCAGCTCAGACTTGCTTTTCAATTCAAGGAGATTACAGGCTTCTTGCCTCTCAGAACAGCTGCTTACCCGATGAGGATTAAAGAAGAAAACAGTGTTTACAAAATGCTTTTGTCAAATGGTACTGGGCTGGGTGGGGCGTCAGGGCCAAACCCACGCGGGCAGCCCTGAACTCCAGGAGTCCGCTGTCAGCACGTAGGCCCAGCCAGAAACAGTAGGACCAACTTTTAAAGAATGTAAGGAAACTTGATTTGTGGGCGAATGCTGTCTTCTTAAAGGATCCCCCACAGGGCCACGTGAGCTCTGTGAAGTGATAAAATCCATCAGCAAGGAAGTATCTTCAGACTTCCTGCCCTCCTCCAGGTCCTGTAAGTCACCCGATTTCTCCTTCCCTGTCTTCCTCCTGCTGCAAAGTGGGGTGTTCCTTCTTGCTGGGGTGAAGGTAAGGTGGAGGCAGAGCGGGGGCACTGATGAGGAGGGACTAAAGAGCTGCGTTGGAGGGCCTGAGGGAGTTGGTGGGAATGATGAGAGACAGAGAACAGTTTCCATGGAACTCTGTCCCTATTCTTGGGGCTTGGGAAGGGCAAATGTGACTGAAGTCACATGGGACTTGTCTTCAGTGGCTCTGACTGAAATGTAGCCTGGACACAGGAGCATGTGGTCTGGACTCAGGAGGGCTCCCCCCTTGGTCATGATGTCCTGGGCCACCTCCCTGGACTTGCCTTCCTGTGTGGACCACATTCCTCGGGGCCGCTCACTGCAGGGAAACCTCGCCCTTTGTTGGAAGACTTGGTTTCAGTGGAAATCGCTAACAGTGATCTGGAGCCAAGTTTGGTTAGATGTTGGGCAATACTGTTTTTGCCCAAAAGTGACTAAAATGATCATTATGTCATGATGCTGACTTTGCTGTGGGATTTGGTAAAATGTCTTAAGGCAGTATGGAAGAGGGGAAGCTTTCAGTCCTAGTTCACTGTGGTCCAGAAAGGAGGTACATGAAGAGAGCCCCACCAGCCCTGCTGTCCTCAGTCCTGAGCCCGGCTGCCTTCGGGGCTGTCACCTGCCCCCACCCTACTGATGTCACATCCCTAGCCTGGCTGCGTCCTGGGCCCCACCTCTTCTGTCCAAAGTGTACAAAGTCCCTTTGAAGGCTAGAAAGAGGCACACCAACAGGAAAAGTGCTTCCATTGGGGACACAGCACTGGTTCTCAGCTGGGGAAAATTTGCCCGTCAGGCCATGACTAGAATTTTTGGTTGTCAAAAATGGGGATGCTAACTGATCTAGTGGGTAAGCCCATGGCTAATGCTGATCTGACAATGCACAGGTCACCACCCAACAACAAGGAATTATTCAGTCCCAAATATCTAACGTCAAGGCCAAGAAACTGTGGGATAGAATAACCCAAGGGAGCTTTGTACCTCCTTTCCAACATATATGCATTTTCCAAAATGTATATATACTATTTCAGATTCAGGAAAAAAAAAATCCAAGTTTTTAAAGTGTGGTATCAGATGCCTGTAATCCCTGCTATTCAGGAGACAGAGAGCAGGAAGATCACAGTTCAAGACCAGCCTTGGCAAAAGGCTAATGAGAGTCCTAGCTCAACAAAAAGGCTGGGTATGGCACTGCATGCCGGTCATCTCAGCTACAGGGGAGACAGAGGTAGGAGGACCCCCAATCCAGGCCAGGCCAGCCCAAAACATGAGACCCTACCTGAAAAATAACTAAAGCAAAAAGGGTTGGGGAGTGTGACTCAAGAGGCAGAGCATCCGCCTAGCAAGGCTGAGGTCCTGAGTTCAAATGTCAGCACTGGCAAAAAAAAAAAAAAAGAAGTTTAAAGACAGGAAAATTTCCTTTAACTGATGGAAACTTGCAAGCTTAACACTTGAAAGGAAAAAAGAAAGAGTAATTATTAGGGCACCAAGAGAAAACAGGAAATACAGAAATAGTGTAATAAACAAACTTAGACACTTGATTTGACAAATATTCCTTGGCCACCAGCGAATTCCAGGGTGGACAAGGGGACATCCAGACTGGAAGGCAGTCACACCTGGCCTGCGGGGTAGAATCTCACAGGCTGAGCAGATGTCGCCACAGTTTGAGGCAATATGGAAAACCAAGTTAGCAAGGAGGAAGGTTTTCCCAGGTGGGGTCTGCCAAGGCTTTGGGGAGAACATGAGGTGCTTGGAGTTAAAGCTTGGCCAGGTAGAGAAGACTGTGGTCACTTGAGGTCATCCTGTCTGAGTTCAAGTACAACTACTTACCTAAAAATTGGACAGTCTTAGGCTAACTCACTCCCTCAAGTTTCTGTTTCCTCATTTGTAAACTGCATAATAAAAGAATGAATGTTGGCATGGTGGAGTGGCTCAGGTGGAAGAACACCTGTCTAGCCAGCGTGAGGCCCTGAGTTCAAATCCTGGTACTGCCAAAATGAAAGAATGAATTCTGTCTCCTTAAAGGATTTGCCACAGGCCCATGTGTGGTCTGGACAGGGAAGAAGAAGTGTTCCCATACATAACCCTAACGCACGGGGTCTTAAGGATTAATTGAATCATTGCATGGAATCTCAGTGCAGTGGCTGGTGACATGCTCCGTCCTGTTAGCTGGCATATCAGAAGAGAGGAGGACAAAGGGCGCTCCTGGCCAGGGGGTAGGAATGTGGGACGGTGGACAGGGGCCAGGAGCTGGGATTGGGGTGTGGCTAAAACCTGGCATGAAAGCATGGCCTGCTAGCAGACCGCTGGTGGCCCCCAGGGACATGTTGAAAATGCAGGAGCCTCAAGACCTGATTTTGGTAAACTGGAAGTTGCACTTTAATGAGTCCCCAGGTGAGCACATCAGAGCTGGAGCAGCAGGGGGCCGGACCACAGGATGAGGTTGTGCTCTGGCCAGGTGCTGAAGCGATGACGGAGAGACAGATAACGGACATAAATACTTATAACCTAACACAGAGACATGCACGCTTTCTTTGCAAGAGTTGGGCAGTGTCTGACTTGGGGCTCAGTGCAGGCAGCCTCCTGGTCATTGGGAAGTCCCAGGGCCCTGATGCTAGGGAGGGGGGACTGGTCAGTGGGAGATCTTGGAGATGGGAGCCTGGCAAGCCCCTGCACTGGACAGGAAAGGAGCATGGCTGCTAGGGTGTGTGTGAGACAGGAACAGAGGGAGGCCAGGGAAGAGGCCAGTCTTCCTCTTATCTCCCTGACATCTGAGGTTCTCCCGGGAGGGCCTGGCTCCCGCACATCTGTGCTGAGGCTCAGACCTCAAGAATTCTCCCTCCATGCACATGTGGAGGAAAAGCCATGTCCAAGAAGCCTTGCCACAAGCAGGGGCACACCCCTCACAGGTGACAAAGTCACTGAGTGAGGATTTGGGGGGGAGGTGGCAGCTTCTGAAGGCAAGTCAAAGGCAGTGTTCCTCGGACCCATCATTACTGCAACAGGAGAAACCCATCTCAGGGTTTGAATTTTCCTTCAACATAAGAAAGAGACCGAAGCACGGGGCGGGCTGGGGTGGGATCTCAGTTTCTTCACTGGGTCTTTTGAGGCGTCAGACTTTACATTCTGGTGGGAAAAAAGAGGCTTAAAATTGAAAGCATAACCCTCTCCACCTGTGTGTGTGTGGCAGGGGGCAGTTCCAGGTCACCAGGAACAGCCAAGCACTGTGACTCCTGTCAGGTGTGTGGTCCACCAGACTCCCGAGTTGGGCTGGGAACGATGCTCTGACGGTGAAAACCAGGGATGGTGTCTCTTCCAAGTCCAAGCCTGCTTCAACAGGCTCTCAGGGAACCTCGAGAGGTCTAGAAGGACTGTCTCAATCCTAGAGGAGGAGGGTCCCGTCCAAGCTCTTATGGGCGCACCGTTAGTAGGAGGTACAGCAGACCGATAGACACTGGAGGACGCCCAGTGAGCGCCCCCTGGCGGCAGAAAGCAGCTTGCAGTCATTTTCTACCACAAGCCCACTGAGGGACGAGGACCAGTGGACTGATCCAAGACTTAGGGGATTTTGCTCGTTGTCAGGGGCCAGTGGCTGATGGGGTGGGCTCTCCTTCCTGAAAGGGTGGGCAGGTGTAGACAGCGCTGCGCCCAGCGGGCTGAGGCTCTGGTGTTGGAGTGTGCGTGGATGTGCGGGCATGTGTGTGAGCGTGAACTGAGAGGGTGTGCATTGCCTGTGCGCGGGTGTGTGAGAGTGAGTGTAAGTGTGTGAGTGTTTTGTGTGTGGGGTTGCCTTCCCAGAAGGAGTGTGGCTCAGCATTTCCTAACCCCATGCCTTCCCCACATGTCTCTGTCGCACCAGGGCCTGGCAGGAAGATGAGCTCCCGTGGATGGGGACTTGTTCTGGGATGCTACCTGTTGCTGGCCTTTGCCTGGAGCCCGGTGCTTAGCCATGTTCCACGTGGCCAGCAGGAACGGCGGGTGCAGGAGGGGACCCAAGAGCCACCTACCCCTCTGGACCATGCTGAGAGGTGAGGGACCATGATACTGTATTTGCAGGAGTGCTGGTTCTGGCCGGGTCAAGCCTGGGGGTGGCAGCTTCCAGGGTGCTGGTTCCGTGGGAGAGGCAAAGGGGCAAAGCCAAGGCTGAGGAGTTGTCCTTAGAGAGGCTGATTTTGGTGGAAGACAAGCCATTTCTCCTTCCAGTGACACAGGCTCCTTGTCTGAACCTGAAGATGGTGGTCCAGCCTCATCCCAGCCCTAAGGGAGCATGAGTCTTTCAAAGTTTTGCAGTAAACAAGGAGCAAACCAAACTCCCCGTCAGGCCCTTTGGCTTGTGCTTGCGTTGGGCCTCTGAGTATGTGTGCAGTTCTAGGTACTAACCGGAGTAAGGAGGCAGAGACAAGTGGCCTCAGAGAGACACCCCACAACCCAGATGTCCTGTCCAGTTGCAATAGGGAAAGGGATTGGTGGGGGCAGGGCAAAGCAAGTGTCACTGTTCCCTGAAAGGTTATGAAGGACTTCAGAATGGTGTTGTCGTGTCTATGACCTTGAGTGATAAAGTCCAGACTATAGGAGATGTTTTGTAGGCACACACAGGTGCTTAGATTGTTCATCAAACTGTCACCCATGAAAAGTGAGGTCCTGAGGCCTGGACATGGCCCCATGCCAGCTTTGGGTTTCACCTCTATCCTGACCTCAGCTGCCTTGATACTTGAGGCTTCAGGTCATGTTACGGAACAGGATCTGGAACCAAGGAACCCCATTCCTTTTTTTCATCTTCTTTTTCTATTTTTCATTCAACAAACACAGATTGAGTACCTGCTGTCAGTCAGACTGTCCACTAGGCCCTGGGAAAGCACATAAAAGACAGTCCCTGGCCTCCAGGAAAATAGAGACATATGATACAGTACAATGAGGCTCTGTAGTAGGGGGCACCCCCTATGCTGAGGACACCTGGAGGGAGCTCCCAGATATAGGAGGGGAAGGCAGCTCAAAAGGTGTGTGCAGAGGAGTGGCCGGGGGAGTTGGGGTGGTAGGGACTGGGGCCTGAGAGTGGAGGATGGAGGAGAGGTGAGCCTGAGGCAGGAAAGTCTAATGCTGAAGGGTCCCCCCTGGACTTCATCCTACAGGAAAGATGGAGTCACAGAGAGTTTTGCATTCCTTGGTGTTCTAGAAGGAACACTGTAGGGGAAGCATCAGGAAAGATACACGACCACAAAGAGACGAATTCCAGGGGCACAGTCCAAAAGGCAATGGTGTATTAGAGATGACGAGGGCCCACGGCCCAGTTCTAGGCATACTTTGGGACTTGAGCTGACTTCTCAGGACCCTGCTGCATGTGGAGGTGAGGCCAGGGAGGCACCTGCACTGAGTCTGAAGACTCCATTCTGGGTCTCTGGTGATGGTGTTGCAAACGGCATTTAGAGAGACAGTTCAGGGGCAAAGTGACAAGGTGGGGGTTTCAGTTTTGGCATGTGACACTTGTGGGGCCTGTTGAATGTCAGGATGGAGACTTCTGGCAAGACGTTTGATGTCAAGGTTTATAGCTCAGGTGAGCGGTGGGGGTGAGACTGTCCATTTCTGAGCACTGGGCTTGCTGGTGGTTGAATTCAAGGCATATGCTTCAACATCTTGGATTGACTGGGGGTAGCAAGTGAAGCCAAGTTAGACAAGAGGTGACCAGTTAAGAGGGGCTTTGCTGCCACCCAAGATGGATCTGTCACAACCCTGGTTGCCAGGGCAGCGGCAAGCTAGAGAGCAGGGTGCAATGCCTCAAAGTGACAAAAGGTGGCAGCATAGAGCCACCACCTTCCAACAGCTACCAAACTGGTCCTTCCAACATCAAGTGGAAATATGACTGACTCCAGCTGCTACAGCCCAAAGGCATGCTAAAGATCAAGTTGAAACCTCTCATTTACAAATGGGTCAGCTGAGCTGATTATTTCTAGAACCCTAGATGTATGATAGGAACGCATAGTTTTGTCCCGCAGGTGTGGGTTTCTCCTGGGTAGCCTACATCTTGCATAGCCTTGGGTTCTGCTTCCATTATGGTGGTTCCTGTTAACCAAAGGGGCAAAGGAATTTTTCTGGTCTTTGATTCAGGATCCCAGAATTCACCCAGTGCCAATGTAAGGCAGAGCCTTGAACATCCAGATGAGGGAGGGCGAAGGCAGGGCTGGTCCTCTAGACCGTTGGCAGTAGAAGACAGATGATTTCCCAACCTTAAGAGTTCATGACTAATCACTGTGACACTTTATTCCCTCAGGGCTGAAAAATACAGCCCCAGGCAGGGCGAGGAGCCCCCAGCTTCCCGGTGCTATCGCTGCTGTGACTCGGGGACCCCTGTGTACCAGACGATCCCAGCACCCCAGATCAACATCACCATCTTAAAAGGTCAGGTGACTGCAGAGACCAGCATGGGCGCCTTCCTCCCAGGGCTGAGCTGGTGGAGTTGTCAGGGTGGAGCTGGATGGGAGCAGACTGGCTCCCTCAGGACCAGAGCAGAGGCAGGCTGCCATCTGGGGGAGAGGCGGAAGTTCTGATTTTGAGACTCTGGCCCATTTCCAAGAGGAGGGACTCTGGTCCATTTCCACAGGACTGAGAGCAGGAGGGTGGCCTCAGGGCTGCTGGGGGCCGCTCAGCTTACACAGGACCACAGGCCTCTGAGTTCTTTGTTTTGAGGCTTGGTGTGGCCAGACCATTTTCTGCAACGTCATCCAGCCCTCTTTCCCCCACACCCATGACCCTGCACAGTCCTGAGGGAAACCCCGTGACCCTGATCCTGATCAGAGCCCTGACATCTGCAGTCCATTTGCTTGGAGTGAGCCTGGGCCTGGCCACAGAGCCTGCTGCTTGTGGACAAACCCGTATGTTCCTTTATCTTCGCCAGGCTTTCCACAAGGAGAAAAAAATGATTGCTTCTGGATGGAAATAGATCCAGTAGCTTGACTGATTTGAGAGTCAAAATACACCAGTATCCAGGTCAGGGACCCTTGTGGGGATGGGGCCTGTTAAGGGTTGTGATGTTGAATCCAGATGGCACCAAGGGCAAAGCCGAGGAGCAGGGTGACCACCAAACTGCTCTCTTGACACCCTGTGTGTTCCTGTCCCTTTTAGGTGAGAAGGGTGACCGAGGAGATCGGGGGCTCCAAGGCAAATATGGCAAAACAGGCTCTGCAGGTGCCAGAGGCCACATCGGCCCCAAAGGGCAGAAGGGATCCATGGGCGCTCCTGGGGACAGGTGTAAGAACCACTATGCTGCTTTCTCGGTGGGCCGGAAGAAGCCCCTGCACAGCAACGACTACTACCAGACAGTGGTCTTCGACACGGAGTTCGTGAACCTCTACAGTCACTTCAACATGTTCACGGGCAAATTCTACTGCTACGTGCCAGGCATCTACTTCTTCAGCCTTAACGTGCACACCTGGAACCAGAAGGAGACCTACCTGCACGTCATGAGGAACGAGGAAGAGGTGGTGATCCTGTATGCCCAGGTGAGTGACCGCAGTATCATGCAGAGTCAGAGCCTGATGCTGGAGCTGCAGGAGCAGGACGAGGTGTGGGTACGCCTCTTCAAAGGCGAGCGAGAGAACGCCATCTTCAGTGATGAGTTCGACACCTACATCACCTTCAGCGGCTACCTGGTCAAGTATGCTGCTGAGCCCTAGTGGCTGCCACCTGTGGCGCTGCTGGGGACTGCTGACCTCCCTGTCTTTTTCCCCAACCCACCCCTGTTGCTCTGTGGACTCTGGGGCCCTGCATCAACCAGGCTGACCCCCTCGCCTCTCTCCCCTGCCCTAGACTGGCTTCCTTGACCTTCACATTCACGGCTTTGACATTCAACAAGATGCCCTTGACTGGTGGGGAAGCCAAAAAGGCTGTGTGGTCCCAGATCTGGCTGCCTCTGTGGGTAGAGAGCTGCTGGCAGATGAAGCCATCAGGGTAGGCCACCTGCGACAACACTCAGGGCCCTCCAGCTCCCTTCTGTGCACACAGCCTTAAGCGACCCTGCAGCATTGTCCCGTGGGCGTCTGGGTGTCCCAGAGCCTAGCGCCCTGCTCCTGTTGCTGGAAGTAATTAAGCAAATGCTAACGGTGCCAATGGAGCAAAGTAAACTATGGAAGGAAAAGGAAAGTGTTGTTATTTTTGCCTCCGCAGCCAGCTGGCTCCCTAAGGGAGACTGTTTGTTTTTGCTGGAGGTGCCTAAGATCTCCACATGAGAGTGGATCCAAAAGAGAGGCCTGGGCGGTGAGGACGGGGCTGGCAGCCTGAAAGGTTCAGAAACTACATCTGCCTTAATTCTGTTAGGGCACAGTACAAACCATTTTGAGGACAGTGGGTCTGACCTCTGTGTCTTGTTGACATTGCTGTGGCCCAAGGGGCTCAGCTGGTCTTTCTGAGCCACAACAGTGAGGGGGTTGGGGCTGGACATCTCCCCAGAGGGACAGCCCAGTGCTCTCTGGTTAGCTCTGGGCTGGTAGAAACAGCCTGCCCACTCCGGCTCACAGGCACCTGACAGTGGCTTGGGAACCTCAGGGATCCTCAGACCTCCAGATGTTTCTGAGTTGCAAAACTCCTCGTACATCTGGGATCCATCCTTCTCCACTCCCCCAGGCTACCCTGGAGGCCCAGGTGGGATGCCGTGCCTGTCACTCTGGTCTGGGCCTCCTGCTCCTTTGCGCAGGAGGGTCATCTGTGGAAGGCACCAGGCCTTTGCTTTTGTTTCTATCAAACCCCCTCACGTAGCCTCAGTCCTACTTCCTGTCTCAGCATCTGCTGTGCTGGTTTTTAGCCAGGCTGACAGGGCCATCAGGCAGTCAGTCAGGGCCAGACTGACTGTGGCCCTCACCAGGTCTTTGATCAGCAATTTGGGGGAGGGACTTCAGGGGAGCTAGAAGGGGCTGGAGAGCCATCCCTGGGCTCCTGTTGGGTCAGTCCTGAATCAGTATGGAAAAGGAAACAGGAAAAAAAGGAAACACATGTCTAGCCACTGGGCTGAGACTCAGTCTGTGGAGAATGGAGTGTCAGAGAGCCCCAAGGTTCTTCCAGAACAGTCCAGAGACAGGCATGGAGGTCCATAGGTGCCTGACTTTGGCTCTGCCCACAGCAGCTGGCAGCCTTGCCTTTGGCTGTCTGGAACATGCCACTCCTTCCCCATCTCACTGCATGTTGGTGCCCAGGGCCTGGTCACCCTCACTACCTGCCTTGACCCCTAATCCACTCACCAGGGCCTTTCTTCCCATCTCAGTTGTGACCCATCCTTCTTTCCTCCTGGGGCCTGGCTACGTGGGTAGGGGGTCCGCACGTGCCCCCTTTGAAGGATTCTGCTGGTCAGACTCTCCAAGCCTGGTCTCCATGGGCGTGCTTGCGCACAGGGGCTGCCTGCCTTGTATGTTCCACACCACCCTTTCCAGGAAACATTAAAGTTGGTTTCTGTTTTTCAGCATCCTGACCTCTTCTGATTGCTCATTGAACAATTCTTCCCCATCCTCACAGTCACCTCCAGCATGGGATAGGCTGTGGGAACCTCACCTGTGTACTTGGGGACCAGCTAAGCCCTGAACAGCCTTGTTCTTCCCAGGAGATTCAGGTGGCCCTCAGGTGGGGCAGCCAGAGCTGGTCACAGTGGCAGAAGGCAGGGATGTGCTCTCTGGGAGTAGCAGAAGCTGTGACATAGTCCCCTGGCCAGGCCTGCAGCCTAGGCAACTGTACAAGGATCCTGTTGTGACAAAGGACCACAAACTAGGTGACAAAAACCAATGGGAATATATTCTGTCATAGTCCTGGAGGCCACAAGTTCAAAATCAAGGTGTGTGGAGGGCTGTGCTCCCTCCGAAGGCTCTAGGGGAGACACTTTCAGCTTCCGATGACCTCAGATATATCTCTGCCTCCTTTGTCTTCACATGACCTCATTCCCTATGTGTCATCACACACCACCCAATTTTCTCTCTCTCTCTTTTTTTTTTTTTTTGGTATGACTGGGGTTTGAACTCAGGCCTTTACACTTGCAAAGCAGACACTCTACTGCTTGAGTCATACCTCCTGTCCATTTTGCTTTGGTTATTTTGGAGATGGGGTTTTGTCCAGGATGGCCTCAAACCTCAATCCTTCTGATCTCAGCCTCCCAAGTAGCTGGGATTACAGGTGCCTGGCTCCCATCTTCTCTTGTAGGAACACGTGGTTGGGTTCAGTGCCTAAATCCAACATGATCTTCTCTGGAGATCTTTAACTTAATTATATTTACACAAACTCTGCTTCCAAGTAAGGTCACATGCACAAGTACCTAAGGTTAGAACATGTGAGTATCTTTTTAGGGTATACAATGCAACCCGCTACAACAACTCCAGGCCTGAATGCACACATCAACAGCCCCCTTTAAACCTGAGTGGTAAAGGACAGATGTTTCTGCTGCTTCTTTTCATTGCTGGCCAACTGGGTTAGCAGCCAGGTCCTTCTCCAACTGCCAGCAGGCAGCTCGGAAGCTGGAGCCAGCAGGCTGGCAAATAGCTGGCCTCCTGCCCTTGCCTGGTGCTGGGGGAGTCTTCATGGCTATGCTCAGCCTTGGGTTGGGGCCAGACCAAGCAGGACACTGTAGTCCTGTTGTCTGTGGGACAAAGGCCCCTTCTTTAAAGAGCTGAGGTGATTTTCATGCATCTGGGAGCAGGGGGACAAGTGCATTTCCCAAAGGTGCCGGAAGGAATGAGCTCACTCAGGTGATACCGACTGTCCTCTCTCCAGGGACAGTCATGCGGCCCACGTACACCTGTCTTGCCATGGCCCAGCCTCCAAGGGAAAGGAGGTAGTGTTTGATGCTCACTCAGCGTCCTTCCATGTCTCTCACTCTTGAGTTCCCCCTTCGTCATTTATCCTCCCACTCTTTCTCCAGATAGTAGCTTGCTCCTGCTCTGTGGCAGCCCATGTGCTGGGCGATGGGGACATAATGACAAGTAAGATATGACCCTTGCCTTCTGGAGGACTTTTCCAGTGGTGGGACATGGGTGCTAGCCTTCTCCAAGAACTGCGTGCTTGGCTGGTACGAAGTTACCTGCTCTCCGATGCCCTCACCAGGCAGTGAACTCAACACATCCTGTCTGTGTTGACTGTCCCCTGCTCCTGGGAAATTGACTGTCACGGGAACAGCCCTGCACACTCAATTGCAACAGAAATATTACTGTTTTAGCAAAAAGACTCAGAAACAGCTGATGACTCAGCCACAGGGAAGACCAGCTTATATTAGGACTTTCCGGAGGCTTTGGGGCCAGGGAGGGGGATGAGGAGGGCACAGCTGACCCTAGACTTCAAGGATAATTTTCTGTAGGGTTCACTTTGGGAACACAATGCATTATAGGAAGCTGGCACTATTGAGCCACAGTAACTGTGGATAAAATGAGCCATTCTTGACCAGATCATGAAAAACAAAACAAAATAAGCTAAAACAAAACAAAACAACAAAAACCCCAGAACGTTACATAAAGTAACAAATAAGACAAGGCTCCACACAAAAGAATGGAGTGTGCCCTACCTCACACCATACATAAAGATGAGCTCAAAATGAATCAAAGCCTATAAAAGAGCTAAACCCATGAAGTTCTTAGAAGAAAACCTAGACATAGGTCTTCCTGACCTTGCGTTATATGAGTTTCTCAGATTTGACACCAACAGCACAAGGAAAGAACAAAACGATAAATCGAATGTCATCAAAAATTTAAACTTGGCATGGAGGTGTGGCTCAAGTGGTAGAGCACCTGCTTTACAAGTGTCAAGCCCTGAGTTCAAACCCCAGCCCCACCAAAAAATTTTTTAAAAAAAGAATTACTTAAAAAATGTAAACTTCTGTGTTTGAAAGGACACCATTAAGAAAATGAAAAGAGAATTACAAACTGGGAACAAACATTTGCAAATTGCTTATGTGAAAGAGACTTGTATCTGGAAGACATGAAGAACTCTTGTAACGCAATAAAAAGATAAATCATCCAATTAAAAATGAGAAAAAGATTGGAAGAAACATTTCTCCAAAGAAAGCAAACAAGTAGCCAGCACACGCACAAACAAATGTCTGACATTCATAGCCTCCAGGGAAATTCAGTTCAAAACCACAGTGAGCTAGCTGTCACTTCGCAGCAAACAGGATGGCTAGAACCAAGAACGCAGATAACAACAAGTGCTGATGGGGTGTGGAGCAATTGCTGCTTGCACGCTGCTGCCCAGAATGTAAAATGGTGCAACCTCTTTGGAAAACGGTCTGAACGTTCCTCTAAATCCTCAGTGTGGGACCACTGTTGACCAAACAATTCTACTTCTAGGTTTAAATCCAAAAGAAATGAAAGCACAGTCCGCCCAAAAACCTGTAGATGGATATTCACAGCAGAATTCACAATAATAAAAAAAACCTAGATAAAACCCAATATCCATCGACCATGGCTGAAGTACTGATCTATACTATAATGGATGAACGCCAAAAACATTATCCAAGGGGAAAGAAGCCAGACACGGAAGGCCACATATGGTATGAGTCCCCTTCTGTGACAGCTAGAATGAGCCAATCTATAGACAGAGAGGAGAGTAAGGGTTCCCAGGGGCTGGGGTGTGGAGAATGGGAGAAACGGGTTTGTGGTTTCTTCTTGGAATGATGAAAATATTCCCAAACTGATTATAATAGTGGCTGTATAACTGTGACCACACTAAAATCCATTGAATTAATTATAACTTTAAATGGCTGGTGTGTCACGTTTGAATCTTCAAAAAAACCGGATGGTTTGTACAGTATGAGAATTTTGTCTTCATAAAGCAGATATAAAAAATCAAAAATAAACTCCTCAAAATATCAGGTTTCCTTGCCCTTTGCAATTGAGGGCTGGGAAGTCTTGGGAATCTGAGTTATCACCTTCAGGGTCAGCCCCATGGCTCTAGGCTTGGCTTAGGATGGGGCCGGGGCCGGGACCAGGGGCCAGTAGGTAGGATGGGAGTGTCAGGGATCACTCTTCCAGGAACATTACTGAACCAGCAGTTTTGAATCACCCCATGGGTGAGCTCATGCAAATGCAAGAGGCTGACTCAGGTTCCAGGGGAAGCATTCCAGAAGGAATGAGTAATTGAGAGCCATGCTTTTCCCTCTCGAATCTCTGCACAGCTTGGTAGGGGTCAGGAAGGCAGAGTGACCTCAAGTGCCCTCACCCCGAGTGGCCTCAGCATTCAGCCCCTCCCAGTGCAGGATGGGGGACAGCCCATGCCTCACACAGATGGCCAAGGCGGACAAGGAATTTCCACTTTAGAAACTTCTCTAGATAGGCTTAGAAGTCCATATGCTCTGGGTAATTTGGAAACCTTCCTGCCTAGACAGAAAATGTCCCTCCAACTGTTCAGTTGGGATGTCACTAAGTTGGGTGTTCACGCAGCTTGAGATCCTACTTACTAAAGATATGTGACAAGAAGTATGACATGCTCACTGTTGGAGGAGAGTCTCACAGGAGAGTTGTCACCGTCAACTTAAAATAACTATACTTGCTACCT